GGAGAGAGGGGCCACTGAAAGAGACAGAGAGAGGCAGGGATGCAGGAGCAGTACCGGGGCTCAGCACTCACGGTCCCCAGATATTAATGTGCTCTGAACAACATGAGTATTTCACCCCAGGATCCCCAAAAGCTGAGCATTGTCTCAGCAGAGGACAGAGAATGACTCATAGAGGAGCCCAGGTCCAGGCTAAAGTCCCAGGTCTCTAAGTTGGGAGCCAAGTGGATCTCAGCTCTCCTTCATCACCTTCTGCTCTGTCCCTAACAACTAATAAGACCCAGTCTGCAAAATGAGGGCATGGGTGTTCGGGCTGATTTTCTACATGGGAAAATCCATGAACTACAAGCTCTTCCTCCGTGCTTCTCTGGACCCACGGGGTCAGGCTGGAGTCTTACCTGCCTGTTAAGAAGGAGATCTGCAGCCACAGTCCTCCCTAGCTGTGTGACTCCAGGCAAGTCCCCCCTTCTCTACCATTTTTTTTCCCTTACCTCACTTGGTAAATGGGGCTGATGATGTACTGCCCTCCAGTGGCTGCTGTAGGAGTTCGTGCTTCTGGACCCTCCAACAAACCCAGCACCTCTGGAAGAGGAAGAAGCCAACGTACCTGGGGGCTGAGGTTCAGGGACCTCGGAGGCTGGCCTCGCTGTACGGAGCAGCAGGATTCTCTCTCCTCTCTCTGTTGTTGAACTTTGTTTCCTCCTGTTCCATTAATGTGTCCTTCCAGGGCTTGGGGTCCTTCAGTGACTCCACAGACCAATGTGGGAGTGGTTGCATCAGCCCTGCCTCTGGAACCTCCCAGACCTAAGGAAGGTTCCATCTGGCTCCCATTCACACCTGATTTCTCACCCCAGGGTGGCCCACAGGCTCTGGTGATGAGATGTCCTGAGAATGGAGTCGCCTGGACCTCTTTGTCTTCACTGTGCCCCTTGTCCCCCACCATCTTGGGGTACCACCTTTCTTCCCCACAGTAGCCTCCACCCCTGCTCATCTGTGAGGCCACTTCCTGTTCCAGGCCTTGGACCCTGTGCAGAAGATGCTCATTCTCTCCCTTCAGGGCCCAGACCGTGTCTTCTATTCCCAGGACCACATCCTTCATCAGCTCTTTGTAACTAACCCTGAGCTCTGAAATCAGTGCCCTGAGCTCTGCGTTTTCCAGGGTGACACACTCTGTCCAGCCTTGGGCTTTCCTGACACTCTCAGACATGACTTTCTGCAGCTGGCCCAGGTCCTGCTTCAGTTTCTCGTTCTCCTCCTCAAGCTGGGAAATCTTGTTGTAACTCTTCCCATTGCAGTCCTCCAGGTCGGACATGGCCTGCAGACTCTGGGTCAGTTCCTGCCTGAGGCGGCCCAGCTCCTCCCGCAGAGCGTGGTTCACCTGCTCCAGCCTGGATGTTTTGACTGTTTCTCGTGCTCGCTCTTTTTTGTAACGACAGGCTTCCCCGTGGCACCTCCCTTCGTCTCCCTGACACTGGGCATTGTCACATAAGACCTGGCTTCTCTCTTTCTTCGGGGTGGTAGAGAGCTGGTGGAACTCGCCTCCTGTCCTCTCCTGGGTGCCCCATGGTGTTGAGAGCTGACACCCACCCAGTTCTGCAAGACCCCAGTTGGCTGCATCCCCATCAGGCACTGACTGTAGAAGAGTGTCACCAGTTCCCAGGGCCACATCCTCTTCTGGTCTAACCCCTTTGCTGTGCCCACTAGGCTTTGTATCCTCAGTAGAACAAGCAAGCAGACCCTGGCTTGCCAAGGCCTTCTGAGGACACATGCCCTCCTCAATGTCCCACCATGTGTGAGTGACACTCTGGTTCTTTCCCACCAATGCTGACATCTGCTGGGGACCCCCACAGCCGAGTTTCAGGGTATTCAGCTGCTGGAAGCAGGCCTCCACCTCCCTCTTCAGTTTGTCTCTCTGGAGGGCACACCTATCCTGTCCTGTGCTCAGAGCCTGTGAAAGACAGGGGCCCCACCTCTGGCACCTGCCGTGGTCCAGTTCAGAAACTGATGAAAACTTTGATCTCCCACAAGGAAAGGCAGCCCCTGCCCACACGTGTTTTGCAGTTAGGCAGCTGAGGGGCACCCCACAGGCTGGGTTGGGTGCTATTTGGAGCCTCATCTTCTGCTCTTGACCTTCACCCCCAGAGCTTTCCTCCCTTAGAACTGGAATGTCTCCAAACCCCAGCTGATGGCCCTCCTCGCCCCGTGCCCTCCTCCAGACATCTCCAACCTTTCCTGCTAGGGGCTGGCTACCATTTGGCCATGGCTCTCTGGTCTCGTGGGCCCTGGAGCTGGTGACCAGGGGGGACACTTCCTCCTCCTCTGATGGCATTCCACCCAGAAGGCCCCTGCCACATGCCTCCACCCTCCCTTTCCTGCTCAGGGACTTAGGGCCCTCCTGTGACCCAGAGGCCGGCCCATGAGGAGGCAGTAATAGACACTCTCCCCAGGACCAAGGACAGTGGGCGGTGACCTGGGTGTCTGAGGCTCCACTCTTGTTCTGTGGGCCCTTTGGGGCTTGGACCCCCACCCCTAAGCTCAGTTTCCCACTGCTTTCCTGACCTGGTGGACATTTGTCAGGCTCTAACTTCATCGTACCCAAGGTCCCCATCACCTCCCATTCCTCTGCTCTTGCAACTGGGGGCGCACTTCTCTCCTCACATAGGTGTCTTGGCTCCCTGGGTCCTTCTGTGGAAAATAGGCCATTTGAAGTGAGTGTGGACTCCTGGCTGAGGGAGGAGTCATGGCTCCCTGCCAGGTTACAATCCCCACCAGGGTGTGTTGCAGTCCTAGAGGTGGATGAGGGCTGGCTTCCCAGTTCTTCTTGGGTCTGGAGTTCTTGTAGGACAGACTCCTGGAGCAGTGGTGGCAGCAGGGCCTCGAGTCCCCAGAGCAGGGGTGTCTGTGACAGGAGCAGAGGCTCCTGGGCTGGAGCAGTTGTGGGACTCTCTGAAACCCCTGCTAGGTGCAAGTAGAGTGGCTCATCCGTGCACCGCCCTGGGGAGCAGCCGCATAGCAGGAGAAGAACCTGTCCATCCAGGCTGGGCTGAGTGGGAGCACCCTACAGGTGGAGAGATGAGATGGGGTATGAAACAGTCCTTCTGGGACTGAGCCAGCCCACCTCTGATCACCTCCCTGATGCTCTCTGAGCCTGTTTGTCCAGCTGCACATGAATCCTGCTCTCCATACTGCAAAGCCTGCTGTCACCCCAGGGCCTTTGCACAAGTTCTTGCAATGACCCAAGATTCTCCTTCACCCAAAATCAAACTCTGCTACTCACAAAGCCTCACAAAGCATTGCCTGGCTTCTCTTCGGCATAGTCCACTGTAGTGGGCTATACACAGATGTCTATAGGGTCATCTATGAGCTTATGGTCCTTTACTGTCCAACTTGTTCACCGCAAGTACCTCAGAATGTGGAGTGTAGTAAATGACGTTTGGTTCTGCAAGGTATGGCTTGTGGCTGCCATCTTGGGTGGCATAGATATAAAGAACATTAACCACATGTGGAAGGTTCTAGTACGCAGCATTTGTGTGGACTGTCTACTCCCCTAGGAGTAAGGACTGGTCTCTGCTCTTCCCCAGCCTGGAGCAGTGCTGAACTATCCCAGACAGCTCTGAATCTGTCTCTATAATCACATATTCCACGTGTCTATACAGAGAGGAAGACGCCTGGCTCACAGCATCCCTGAGGCAGGAGGGAGTCTGGGCACCGGGGCTGGGCTTCATCCAGGTTCTCTACCAGCCCCTGAGCTGCTGAGGCTCCCTGGGCTGTGGGAACTTGTGGCTGTGGGCAAGCTCTTGATGGGGGACTCTGAACAGCAGAGAGAGGGAGGCCAGCAGGTCCGAGACCTGGTAAAAAGGGAAGGAAAGTCTCCACCAACAGAGGAAGGCTGGATCCTGCGGTAGCACCGAGGCAGAGTGCAGTGCCTTTGGGCAGACGGGCTGGAAGGCCAGCCTGTGCAGATGCCCCACATCCTGCCACATGTCAGCAGCACTCTGGTCCTCTGTCCTCTTACTGACTGAGATGTCCCTCTATCAGGGACTCACATTGACTGACATACGACGTGGAATGTTTGCCCAGAGATCTGCAAAGCCAGATTTGAGCTTTGTCTCTAATTTGGAGGAGATTGCTTAGCTCCCTAGAGCTGCACAACCTCCGCCTGTAAAGCGGACACCCCAAAATTAAGACATTGCCTGGGCCCAAAGAGCTGAAAATCAGGCAATTCTAACATGAACACACACACGCCTGAAGGAATGCATGTATGAAGGAGGGCCTGCTCTGCTCAGAACCACACAGCCACATCAGGACGGCACTCAGCTCTGCTTTCCAGGAAGCTGAGAAGGGCAGCAGCTTGCCTCAGGGGGAGCTCAGACTCAGCTCCTGAGCCCAAGGGCATAGCTGTGAGGCACAGTGCGGGAGGAGACTAGGGCCCTGGGGCTGGGGACCCCCAAGGATCCCAGCATCTCTCAGGTCTCATCCTCTCTGGATTCGGGGAAGCAGCACCCGCCCTGTAGGTGGTCAGAGGCCTTCATCAAGGTAACATCTGCTTCTGCTACTACGGGGCAGCCCAACCCAGGACCCTGGTCATGGCTTTCCTTCCCTCCCCACTTCTCAGCTAGGTCTCAGGACCCTGCGTTCCATCCCTTCAAATCTCTCCCTGAATCATTTCCAGAACATTCTTCCAAACCTGGAACATCTTTGCTTCCTCACTAGAAGCTGCTCCCCAGGGAGGTCACATTGCCATGCATGCAGCAGAGAGGCCACAGCCCCACTGACCCCCAAATATGAAGAAACCTCTGGTCTCACCTGTCCATGTTCAGACCCTGCCAGGTCTCTCTGGAGCTCACTCGTGGTCCTTGGACCGGGTGCTACCATACAGGGGGCTGGTCCATCTCCAACGCAGCCATGGGGCTCTTCTGAGAGCTGGCCTAGGACAGCATGAGCAGAGGAACTGGGTCTCCAGGCACTTTTGCAGGTCGTAGCACTCACTCGCCAGGAAGACTTTTGGACCCTCAGTGTCTTCCCTTGTCAGCAGGGGGACACCCCCACCCCCCACCCTGCACAGCTGCCAGAAGGAAGAATGAACAAGCCCACAGGTCAGATTCCACCCTGGCCTACTCAGCTGCCTCCACCCACGATCAGTCCTGTGGTACCATGAGCCAGACCATGGACCATACTTGGGTTTGAGGGCTTGAGGGTGGTGACACCTATAGCAGGGAGCCAGAAAACCATACTTCACTCTTCTGTAACCGGCAGTCATCCCCATGAAGGCAACTGGGAACACCAGGGACGAGGGGCTTCCAAGCTCTCAGACCTGCCAGACCCAGTTTCATTCCCTCAACCTAAGCAGTCAGCTGGGGTGGAGGAAGGTTAGAACAGTTCCTGCTCACCATAGGGGCTTCTGGGAAGACAAGCCCCTGCCTGGTGCCACCCCACAGGCATGGTGGGTCCTCTGGCTGGTATCTTTCAAGATCAGAGAATGTGAGTCTAAGTGTCCCACTGAGCCTGAGTAAATGACTCCTGGCACATCAGACTCTGATCCCACCTTCACTGTCTGTGTGACACTCCGTAGGTGTCATTACCTCTCTGATCTTAGAGAGGGGTAAATCACCCTGCCCCAGCATTGTCAGAACATCATGACCACTAAGTGAGCTGGCCAGGCAGAGGGGTGTGAAACGGCCCCTTAGTGCACAACAGCATCTACAAACCTGCTGGAGCCTGACATCCTCTGGCTCTATCACTGTGGACTTGGTTTCTGCAGGGATCCAGCACCTCTGCTCTGGGCAGGGGCAGCAAGTCACTTTGAACACAATCTGGGGTGCCCTAGAGGGAGACAGAGAACTGAACAGTCACAGGTGCCCCAGCAGACGTGTCTATTCCAAGCCCGTCCAACAGTTCCTCCCCAGCAAGGGTCAGGGCTTCTCCGAATTGAGGAAACTGAGGCTCCTGTTGACACCTGGGCTCCATTCGGTAAGTGACAAGGGGCGGCATTCTGTCCTCTGAGCAGTCTGTCTATCCAGACAAGAGGCATCTGGGTTCTGTGGTAGGGTAAAGCTCACTCCGTGCAATCTCTTTTCCACTGGTGGGGGGCATGTGCCCGGGGGGCATCTACCCAAAGGGCACAGGCATCTACCCAGTGGGAGGCATCTGCCCAGAGGTTTTGGATACTCCTACCTTTCCAATATGAGCAAGTCCCAATGGGGACAGTAGCTGGTGACCTGGGCCATTCCCATCCCTCAGGCCTGCAGGCCAGCTGTGTGGGTATAAAGGAGAATGCCCAGTAGGCAGAGTCACCCCCTACCTTCTGCCCCAGCTCCTCCCACAACCCAGGAGGGGCTGAGGACAGGTCTGCTGCATTCCCACAGCCAGGGACCACATCTGCACAGGTTCTCACAGGCCACCATCCCTGCTGGGCTATGAGCTTCTATAGGGAGTGACCCTGGCTTCATTGGTCTACAGCTTTCCCTCAGATGGCACACAGCAGGAGCTTAATAAATGCTTGACAGGCACAATGTCTCAGAAAAGCAGGTACATTTATTCAGTGCCCACCAGGTGCAAGTACTGTTCTCAGCCTCACATGTCTCCTGGAGTTAGAGTGACAGGCAGTTTTGAGCTGTCCGATGTAATGGGAGGTCCTCTGCAAGAGCCATCTTTCCAGGCCCTGTACCTATTTGTACCTACATACTTGGGGTTACAGAAGAATGTCTTAGGAGATGAAGGGTGATGGTGTAAAAGCTTAAGAATCTCCAGCTTAAGCTACCACACAAGCCCCACCCTGCAGTACCACACAAGCCCCACCCTGTAGTACCACACAAGCCCCACCCTGCAGTACCACACAAGCCCCACCCTGCAGTACCACACAAGCCCCACCCTGTAGTACCACACAAGCCCCACCCTGCAGTACCACACAAGCTCCATCCTCAGCATCTGTTGACTCCCTTTGCAGTGTGCTGTGGATGAATGTGAAATGTCTCCCACAGGCTTGTGTATGTAAACACTCAGTTCCCAGCTGGCACTGCTGCTCTGGAAGGTTGTAGAACCTTCAGAGAACGTAGCCTCATTGGAGGAGGTGGGTCATGGAGATAGGCCTTGAAGTGTTACAGCCAGGCCCCACTTGCAGCGTGCTCTTGGCTTCCTGACTGCAGACACAACGCAACCAGCTGCCTCCTGTTCCTGCCGCCATGCATCTCCATCATGCTGGGGATGTACCCTCAAATCCTGAACCAAAATAAATGCTTCCTTCCTATGGTGGTTTGGATAAGAAATGCCCTCCATAGGCTCATACAATTGGCCCCCAGTCGGTGGTGCTGTTCGGGGAGGTTACAGAACTTTTAAGAATGAAGCCTTGAGAAGCTGGGAGTGGTGGCACACGCCTGTAATTCAGCACTTGGGAGGCAGAGGCAGATCTCTGTGAGTTCAAGGCCAGCCTGGTCTACATATGGAGTTCCAGGCCAGGTAGGAGTACAGGGAAGCCCTGTCTCAAAAAAAAATGTATTCTCATTATGGCCTTGTGCTAAGCCTTGCTGGAGGAAGTAAGAGTTTGTAGTCTCACCCTGCTTCCAGTTTGATCGCTCTGCTTTCTGTGTGTGGAAAGAGGTGAGCTGTGTCCACTCCTGCTGCCACGTCACCCCACCATTATGGATTCCAACCCACAGGAACCGTAAACCAAAATAAACCCTTTCTTCCTTAAGCTGCTCTTGGTCAGAGCATTTTATCACAGCAATAGAAAAGTTGCTTCTTCTTGGGCATTTGGTCACATCGATTAGGAAAGTAGCTATTACACATGTGTTCCTGGAGGTCCATGGTCACATATGCAAAGGCACTCTTAAGGCATTCAGTACTCAGTGATTGACAGTCTTCCCCAAAGGCCCAAATCTTACATAAAGGAATCCCTTTAACGGATGCAAAGAGAAGAACATGAATCTTGCTCATTTACATTTCTAACTGGCAGAGCTGCCCTTTTTGCCATGAATTGACTTTTGTGTTACCTGTGTCCTGTATTTGCTTTGCAGTATTGACTTTCTTTTTATGTGTATGGAACTGGGGGCCTCACATGTGCTAGGCAAGTGCTTTACCAATGAGCTGTATTCCCAGCCCTTGATTCTGTCTTGTTGTTCTGTTCTCTTCTTTCCTCTTCTCCCTGTAGCCCCAGCTAACCTGGAACTTACTATGCTGCTCTCAGAGATCCACCTGCCTCTGCCTCTTGAGTTCTGGGATTAAAGTTGTGCCCCACCATGCCCAGGGACTCTGTTTCTTTATATATACAAAATTTTATTTTCTTTTATTGTTTTATTTTATTTTATGTGTATGTTTGTATTGCCTGCATGTAGGTAAGTGTACCTGTGCCGTGCAATGCCCTGGGAGGACAGAGAGACTGTTGGATCCCCTGGAACTGGAATTACGGACAGATGTTAGCTGCCATATGGGTGCTATGATTCGAACCCGGGTCTTCTTGCAAGAACAGTCAGTGTTCTTAACCACTGAGCCATCTCTCCAGCCCCGGGACTCTGTTTCTTAATGCCCCCGCTTGCTGTGGAGCAGGCAGCAAATCTGTGGCCCAGTGCTTCGCAGACGCAAACTGGGAGCTAGGCTGCCTGGAACGCTCAGTAGTGAGAGGATTCCTGCAGCTGCCACCAGGGGTCGATCCGTACCCACTGCAGGGCAGGGAGGCTTCGGGGAGCACCCTGTGAGCCTCATCACCTCAGCTCCCAGATGACAAAGGACATGGGTAACTTTAAGAGCCTGACTTTTCATTAAGAGCACTAGTTACTCTTGCAGAGGACCCAACTTCGGTTCCCAGCACCCACGTGGTGGCTAACAACCATCTATAACTCCAGTTCCGGGGAAATTTGATGTCCTCGTCTGACCTCCAAGGGCACTGCACAATATGGGTGCACTTACATACAGGAGGCAATACACTCACACACATAGAATAAAAATACTAAAAATTTTAGAATATTTTTTAAAATAAGAATTGGTTCACATTCACTGGCCAGCTCACTGGCCAGTCCCAGGGCCCAGTGTTGCGACCAGGACACTGCAGCAGCCCAGTGGACACCCACAGGAAAACATGTAGCCATATCAGCAGGCACACAGCCCAGAAGCTTCTTTGACCTCTTTCACCTGGGTACCTGAGCAGGCCCCTCCCCAAACTCCTTCCAAATCACATGTGTCCTTACAGCGTCCCTCTCCTCTGGGGACCTGGGCTTTAAGCAATCTGCTCTGAAAGTTGCAAACCATTTGGCCTTGGGCAAATTAAGAGTCTTACAGATGCAGTGTGGGGACAGGGACTCTGATGCCTCTCTGGCTGCCTCAGTTTCTTCCAACTGTAGTGAGAGGCTTCATGAGGTTTTTTTTTCCCCAATGAGCACTACATCTCATGACCTGGGCTGAGAGTAGAGTGGATCTGGATCCAGCTGGTGATTGGAAAAGATAAACGTCTGTGGAGGATGGCCATGGCCCTGGGAAGTCCTCAAACTGGGAGGCTGGATGGGAAGGAGAGTAGGGGCTGGAGACAATCAGGGCCCTCCCTAAGCAGCAGTGTGGAACCATGGCAGTATGCTCCGAGCTCTGCCTCTTGGTCCATGAAATGGTCAGAACACCCCTCTGGCCCCTGGCACTGAAGAGGAAGTGGGGAACAGGCGGGCAGCTCCTGAGTCAAAGGCGCACCTTCCGATCAGCCCCTGCAGGCTACCTGGCACCTTACCCATTTCAACCCTCCCCTGGAGACCCCTATCCTGAACGGCCCTCCACTGAAGGCCACCACAGCATTCTATGTCCTCATGTACAGGCCACTGTGAGGCTGGTGCTGGTGACCTCGGGCTCACCCTCCCCACTGCCCTGTCAGCCAATGCTTCTTCCCCTGCCATCCTAGCAACACCCCCAGATCAACCACACCTAACTTCTACCACCAGGGGCAGCACTCAGGAAAACAAACAAAACACCAGGAGGGCACTACAAAGTAAGGCCCTCAGGGAACCTGCCATCCTCCGTCACCCCACTGTGGAAGCACAAGCTGGAGGGGACGCTGGGGGTGGGACAATGGTGGTGATGGAGGCAGATCTG